TTTGAGATGTGCTTCTGCCACTTGCTCTTAAAATATCAATTGCTTGACTCACCCTCTACCCTTTCCACCAAATATTAGGTTGAACCATATGAAATTGCCATTCTTATAGATTAAAATGACTGAATAACAGTACTTTTATATGTAAATTTATTCAAACACTTCTAGAGATGGGGCATTCACTACTTACTGAGGTAGCCCAGTTAACAATTGAACAGATTTACCGAATAGAAAGTTTTAAAAAATTGTCCAGGTACAGTGACTCATGCCTGTAAGCCCAGCGCTCTGGGAGGCTGAAACAGGATGATCATTTGAATCCAGGAGTTCGAGAACAGTCTAGGCAACATAGTAAGACCCTTGTCACTACAAAAACAATTGGTGGCACATTCCTGTAGTCCTGTCTACTCAGGAGGCTGAGGCAGGAGGATAGCGTGAGTCCAAGAATTAGAGTTCACAGTGAACTGTGGTCACACCACTGCACTCCAGCCTGGGCAACACAGAATAAGACCCTGTTTTGTGGGGAGAGCATCTGAGGTCAGGAGTTCGAGACCTGCCTGGCCAAAATGGCGAAACCCCATCTTTACTAAATTTGTAACTATCTTGAGCAGACATGTGAGGAGAAACAGGTCATTATCTTTAGCATCAAAGGAATAAACCAAAATGTTAATAAAAAAAAAAGATGCTGTCTTTTATTAAAACACACACACACACACACACACACACACACACACTCCAAATCCATCTTCCTGTTCCTTCTCAGTTCTCAGCTCTCTCCTCTGAGCACATTTCATGTGTTGAGTAGAATTTGACTACAAAATGCCAAGAGGAAGCCCCACCCCTACCACAGGCAGAAAAGCATGAGATTATCACCTTTTTATTCTAGACACAATACTTGTAGAAATGCATTCTAAAATGTCTTAACTTTTAAAAAATGTGCTGCTTTAAGCCATGTCTTCTCTATCTTGTTCTAGTTTATTTCTAACTAAGCTCAGGACCTCACAGTTAACTCCGGTGATTTTTACGGTATTCAGTTAGTGCACCACCCTTCCCTTTTAAAGCCAAGCTTTTGCCCCTTCCCACTGGGTCAAAGTGTTTATTCATTATTTTCTCTATAGTTGTTAGGATACAACAACACAATGTAAATAAAATGCCAAGATATTTGTGAATTGGATCATGATTGTCCAATCCAGGGTGGATTTTGCAAGTTTGGGAAGTGAGCATTCTTTATATTCATCCAAGTCACTGCTACAAATGTTGAAAAGGACAGAACTGATAATTAAGCCCAAAGGAATGTAGATAGTTGGACAGTGATTCGTTAACCTTTAGGTTTGGTCATTCAGTCAGTACTATTTCTCCGACCTGGGTCAGCAGCCATCCTTGTTTCTCAGCCTTGTCTACACGAAGTAACAGTGTAATACATATCTTGCTGAAGTAATAACTATCTTGCTGAAATACATAAGGGGCTTCTCATTACTGGGTATTCAGTGTCCCATTCCTGAAGTTCAGTAGAGCAGTGTGTCATTTAGGATACACTGAGCCACCGTAACAAATAGACCCAAATGTTTAATGGCTCTACATGATGGAATGTTATTTGTAGCACAGGTAACAAGAAATCAGGGTGCTCAAGTTGGTGGGGGGCCTCTCTTCCATGCAGCCACTCAGGGATCTAGGTTTTTCCCATCTTGTGACTCTGTCATTCTCCATGGCCTCACTGTCATCTGCATCCAGTCAAGGAAGAGGAAAACACACAGAGGAGCACATGGGAGCGATTTTTGTCAGACAGGCATGAAAGTGGCATGCCACTGCTGTTCACTTTGTCACAAAGCCACACGTAGCCAAATGGTAGGTAGGGAAATGCTGTTGAGTTTATTGCTTAAAGAGGGGAAGAATGGATTTGGTGGCTAGCTAGTTGTCTCCACTATAGACAGCTAAAGCCTATGTGACACAAAACGAATCACTTATAAACTGACCACACAGTCCTTCCTTTCAAAACCAAGCTTCCACCCCTGCCCATTGTGTCATAGTCTTTGTCCATTATTTTCTCGATAGTTATCAGGTTACAACAGCACAATGCAACACAAATTACATAAAAATTGATGGCAAAGTGAAACTGTCAATCTTGCAAAATAAGCAAGATTTTAAAAAGATTAGGAAAGCAATTTCAGGGAAGTGCCCTAATCGTTTGCTTAGCCAGTGACATATGAGGAAACAGCAGCATTAGAAGAGAGAATATCTATGAGGATAAGGACCAACATGATACTTCAAATGAGAATGATTTGAATATCAAAGAAGTAAGAGAGACACCTGGGAAAATTAACAAAGACCTCAGCTATTTTTGCCAAAATTACACTGTTTGTGATTGTGTTGTGAACGTCAAATCTGAATCAACCAATTTTTTTATTATATGATCATATAATTTTACCAGAAAAACATATGCAAAAAATTCCTCAACAGTTGATTGATTCACTTTCATGATTATTGTTATTTTAAGAATCAGCTGGCTAGAGTCCTTTTGCCTCGCTTCCCCTCCAAGGCTCAGTCTCTAAATGTTGGGATGTCCCAGAGCCGCGTCCTGGGTCTCTTCTCCACATCTCTCCTCTTCTAAGTGATTTCAGTCCCTTGATCTCATTCAGTCCCTTGGCTTTCAATATCATCTACATGCAGCTGACTCTGAAATTTGTGTCTGCAGTCTTGGCCTGTCCCCTGAGCTTCAGACATCCATCCTACTGTCTACTTGACATTTCCACTTGAGTGTTTAATAGCCTGTCAGACTTGGGTGCCTGAAAACAGGCTTCTTGATTGAAAACTGTTTCGTAAGTCCCTGCTATGTCATTCTGTAAATGGCAGCTTCAGTCAGCTGCTTGCTCAAGCCAAAATCTTGAGTTATTCTATATGTCTCTGCCTCTGCTCTCCCCTGACCCCACATTGGATGGAACTGCAAGTTTTGTTGGGGCCAATTTCCAAATATGACCTAAATAAACTCCAGTCCATCTCCCCACTACCATTGGACCCCAAGCCCAGGCAGCCACATCTCTTACTAGGGCCCCCGGGACAGCCTCCTGACCTGTATCCCAGCTTCCACCCTTGCCTTCATGACTACTTCATGTTCACACAGCAGCACCAGTGATCGCTGAAGCAAAGACATTGACTGGGTCGTTCCTTGAATTCGATCCCTTCAGTGCTTCCCATTATTTTTATAATAACTTTAAAAAGTTATTATAAAACCTGTTATAAAGGTTGGGTATGGTGGTTCATGCCTATAATCCCACATGTTGGGAGGCTGAGGCAGGTGGATCACTGGAGCCCAGGAGTTTGAGACCAGCCTGGGCAATATAGTGAGACCCCCATCTCCATTTAAAAAAATAAAAATTAAAAATTAAAAGCAAAATATACCAGCTATGATAAAGATAATTGCTATGAAGAAGACAAACAGGTTAATGAGATAGAGAGGTATATTAATCCATTCTCACACTGCCATGAAGAAATGCCTGAACCTGGGTAATTAAAGGAAAGAGGTTTAATTGACTCACAGGTCTGCACTGCTGGGGAGGCCTCAGGAGACTTACAATCACAGTGGAAGGCAAAGGAGAAGCAGGCACCTTCTTCACAGGGCATCAGGACAGAGTGAGTGCAAGCAGGGGAAATGCCGGACACTTATAAAACCATCAGATCTTGTGAGAACTCATTCATTATCACGAGAGCAGCATGGAGGAAACCACCCCCATGATCCACTCACTTCCCACCAGGTCCCTCCCATGACACGATTCAGGATGAGACTTGGGTGGAGATACAGCCAAACTATATCAAGCGGGCTGGAAGAGAAACTGCTCCAGATGGGAGCTGGAGAAGGCCTCGGTATGGATGTGACATTTGCGCTGAGATGTGGCTGATGACAAGGAGTCAGGCAGCTGTGCTCTGGAGAAAAGAGCGATGCAGACAGCAGAAGCCCCGAGGACAGAGCCAGCTGACAGCTCATGTGGTGGCCAGAGAGTGAGCGAGGAGTAGGGGCGGTGAGAGGAGGGGTGAGATGTGGGCACAAGTCAGATGAGGTGGGGCCCAGGAGGCCACAGGGAAGAGTTTAGGTTTATAAAAGTGGTTTAATAGTAGCCTCTTTATAATAGGATTTATTTTTTATTTATTGAGACAGGGTTTCTCTCCTGTCATCCAGGCTGGTGTGCAGTGGTTCCACCTCAGCTCAGTGCAGCCTCCACCTCCCGGGTTTAAGTGATTCTCTCACCTCAGCCTCCCAAGTAGCTGGAATTACAGGTGCCCACCATCAGGCCTGACTAATTTTAGAGACAGTGTTTCGTCATGTTAGCCAGGCTGGTCTCGAACTCCTGACCTCAGGTGATCCCAAAGTGTTGGGATTACAGGTGTGAGCCACCACGCTGGCTTATTTTGCTTTTTGATGTGTTAAACTGTCCGTCTTCCCTTAAACTTTAAGCTCCACTAGAGTAGAGGCTTTGTCTCTTTGGTCATTATCATATTTTCAGTTGCCAAAGGCTGTCTTATAATAGATGGCCAATAAATACTTGTTAAATAAATAAATATTTCTTGCATTTTTAAAATACAAGAAAAAATAACTTTCCTAACATTAAGTTTTATCTTCCAGAGTAAAGTCTCAATAAATACCTGTCTTCACCATTTAATACGGAATTTTGGCTTCCTTTATAAGTAGATTTATTTAAGTGGCCTTTCCCTATACCAGTTACCTTTGTCTATCTTGCCTATTTCCTTCCTTAGATTTCCTAGACTAATAAACCATGGAATAAGGAAGTGAGGGCTGTGCCAACATGATTTGCTCTTAGTTAACCCAAGCTGGGTCACAGCGATGAGTCATTTTTGTTTTTGGGGCACAGAAGTACCCTCTCCTCCTTAAAATCCATTCTAGAATAGTGTCTGCAAAATGTTATGCTCATTGGTTTGCAGGGTATAGAACTTTCTTTCTTTTTTTCCTCCTTTTTTAGCAAGGCCCATCACTGCAACAGAATCTTCTTTTTTTATTTTTAATGGAACACTTCACAGATTTGCATGTCATCCTTGTGCAGGGGCTATGCTAGTCTTCTCTGTATCATTCCAGTTTTAGTATATGAGCTTATTTATTTATTTTTGAGATGGAGTCTCACTCTATTGCCCAGGTGGGAGTGCAGTGGCCCCATTTTGGCTCACTGGCACATCTGCCTCCCTGGTTCAAGCAATTTTCCTCTCTCAGCCTCCCTAGTAGCTGGGACTACAGTTGCATGCCACCACACCCAGCTAAATTTTGTATTTTTAGTAGAGATGGGGTTTCACCATATTGGTCAGGCTTGTCTCGAACTCCTGACCTCAGGTTATCCACCTGCCTTGGCCTTCCAAAGTGCTGGGATTACAGGCATGAGTCACCACACCTGGCCTCTTCTTTTTAATGGAACATTTTTTCCATCTCCAAGATTCCAGCACCATCCTAAATATCTGTAGGTCCTCTAAGAGTACAGATAGACACAGAAAATCTCTTTCCTGGGTTCTCTACGTGCTGTGGCCTGTAATTCATCTGGATCAAGAGATGAGTTTAATTCAATTTAGACACAAATAAATGTTCTCATTAGAGGGGAGTGGCCACATTGCAAGACAATTTGGCAACACACTGATGCCACTGAATCACTGAACTAAACAGATGCCTCTTTAATGTGGAGGCTCTGATCCCTTTCAAAGTACTGGCTTCTATAGATCTTCAAATTCTTAGAAACAGTTATTTGGGGTCGAAAAATATTATTGAAGGGTTTATGATTTACCTTAAAATTCTCCTCCACCTTGTTATGTGCCATGATCCTTAGGGGTCGCTGGGAAGAGAAGAGAGAGCTGGGAGGAAGACCTATGGAGCCAGCTATCCTGCAACACCTTACCACGGGGGCTCTGGGTAGAAGTCAGACATTTATCTATGTGTGGCCTGCCAGGTGTAAGTGGTCTGCCCCTAGGGTTCTGAGGTTAACTTGAGAGTACATGGCATCCTAAAGGGGCCAGCCAGCCACTTCCCATGTCTCCTCTACACCCTTGCCAATCAGAGAGATCTGAATTTTCATGTTAGATCACTGTTTTCAAGTTAGTCTTTTTTTTAGGGGGACCTTGCTGGTGCAGGGGATGTGGGTGGGGTGTGGTGGCTGCGTGCCTGTGCACAAGTCCCTCTCTACCTCACGCTGCTGCAAAGCCCCCTCATGTTAGTTTTAACTGCTGGCTCAAATGTGTGAAGGCTGTGTCAGCCAGGTAGTACATACCCCAGGCCTGATTCATCAGTCGCTTCTAGTTTGCAACCTCTGACCTAAGGTGCCACGTAAATATCACTGGTGGAGAAAGAGGGGATGCTGCTTGTCAGTTTCTTTTGTCACTGATGCCAGAGTGTGATGTGAATGCGGATTCGTTTTTAGTCCACACAGCAGTTTCTGTTCTAGGAGTTAACAGATATTTACAAAGCATTTTAAATTTAATTTAATTACTTTATTTAGAAACAAGATCTGTATCAGTTGCCCAGGCTGGAATGCAGTGATGTAGTCTTGGTTGACACTTCAGCCTCAACCTCCTGGGTTCAAGCAATCCTCCCATCTCAGCCTCTGGAGTAGTGAGGACTACAGGTACACACTACCACACCTAGCTAGTTTTTGTATTTTTTTTTTTAGAGACAGGGTCTTGCTATGTTGCCCAGGCTGGTGTTGACTCCTAGCTTCAAGCAATCCTCCCACTTTGGCCTCTGAAAGTGCTGGGATTACTGATATGAGCCAGCATGCCTGGCTCACAAAACATTAAAAAAAAATTGGTGTTGCAGCAAATCTTCATTTAAATGGCATTGAAATTTGACAGAAAGAATCAACTTCACAATGAGGGATTCATGTGGCTGCTGCTGTGGGGAACTTTTTTTTTGAGACAGGGTCTCACTCTGTCACCCAGGCTACAGTGCCATGGCACTTTCTTAGCTCATGGCACTCTCCTGGGCTCAGGTGATCTTCCTGCCTCACCCTCCTGGGTAGTTAGGACTATAGGCATGCACCACCACACTCAGCTAATTAAAAAAATTTTTTCTGTAGAGATGTGGGGAGGCTCTTACTAGGTTGCCTAGGCTGGCCTTGAACTCCTGGCCTTGATCCTCCTCCCTTGGCCTCTCAAAGTGCTGGGATTACAGATGTGGGACACTACACCTGGCCTGGGGCACAGTTTTTGTGAGGACCTGACTCCCCAAGTAAAGGACTAGAAATTTGTCATCTACATATTGAGGACCCTCAAATTTGCCCCAGAAATAGTACATGCATGTTGTAGGGGCCAAAAAGTATACTAAATTTATGTTGCTTTCTGCAGGTCTGGATCTAAAAACGAAAACTGAAACAAAAATACAAATGAATTAAATGTTGCCGACCACTTTCGTTCACAATTCGCTTTAAAAACATTAAATAAGGCTGGGCGCAGTGGCTGATGCCTTTTAATCCCAGCACTTTGGGAGGCCGAGGCAGGTGGATTGCCTGAGGTCAGGAGTTCAAGACCAGTCTGGCCAACATGGTGAAACCCTGTCTCTACTAAAAATTTAAAAAATAAAAAAAAATAAAAAATTAAATAAAAACTCTGTCAGGCATAGTGGCTCACGCCTGTAATCCCAGCACTTTGGGAGTCCAAGGTGGATGGATCACTTGAGGTCAGGAGTTTGAGACCAGCCTGGCCAACATGGTGAAACCTGTCTCTACTAAAAATATAAACATTAGCTGGGTGTGGTGGCGTGTGATTGTAATTCCAGCTATGCAGGAGGCTGAGGTAGGAGAATCACTTGAACCCAGGAGGTGAAGGTTGCAGTGAGCCAAGATCACACCACTGCCCTTTAGCCTGGTCCACAGAGTGAGACTCTGTCTGGAAACAAAACAAAACAAAACAAAAAAAACCAGGCATGTAGGTAGCTCGTGCCCATAATCCCAGCACTTTGAGGTCAAGGTGGGTGGATCACAGGGTTGAGAGTTCAAGACCAGCCTGGCCAACATGGTGAAACCCCGTCTCTACTAAAAATACAAAAACTAGCTGGGTATGGTGGCATACGCCTGTAATCCCAGCTATGCAGGAGGCTGAGGCAAGAGTATCGCTTGAACCTAGGAGGCAGAGGTTGCAGTGAGCTGAGATCACGCCACTGCACTGCATCCTGGATGACATAGTGAGACTTTGTCCCAAAAAAAACCAAACCAAACAAAACAAAAAACCCCAAATCTTTGGCTAAGTGCGGTGGCTCACGCCTGTAATCCCAGCACTTTAGCTTAGCTACTGAGTACAGGTAGTAAGTAGTAAGGCCGTGGGATTGAACCAGGGTTGGGATCGTGCCACGTGCTTACAGGGGTCATGGAGAAGGGCGAGGGAAGCTGTGGTTGGCCGCAGGTGTGGTGATTTTAATGATGGATCATGTAGTCTAAATTAGATCAAAAGGGAAGTGTGGACACAAGCGGGTGAGGGACTGTAAGAGAGTCTAGGGAGCTGTGATGAAACCCTGAATCAAAGGTATGAACGGTGGGAATGATTTGGGGACTGTACTGTAGGAAAATCCACTCGTCCTTGCTGAATGGTTTCACTGGGACTCTCAAACCACAGGTGGGTCCTCAGCGAAGCCTGGCAATTGTAATACAGTTCCATGGTCAACTCAGTCACCAGCTCTCCTGGCCAGCTCTTTTACAAAGCCTCTCTCCTCCAACCTCCAATGCCCTCTGCCCGCCATCCCTTCCTTCTCAGCTGATGACCTTGCTCATTATTTTGCTGAAAAAAAAGAGAAGCAATCAGAAGAGGCTGATCATCGGCCTAATGGATCTCCATTGTCTCCTCTGCCCCCCCGTTCCTCAATGTCCACAGAGTCAATTTCCCATACACTAGCCAGAATTACTACATGATCACTCACTCAGAACAAAATCCAAACTCTTTACTGTGACCTAAAGCATCTATGTGGTCTGCCCACATGCTTGTCTCTGATTTCATTTCCCTCCCTCTCTCACTGCTGTCTCCGCCCTACACACACGGATCTCTTTGCTTTTTCGCCAACACCCAAGGCATATTCCCCCCTCAGGATCTTTGCACACACTGCTTCAGTCTCTGGAGTGCTCTTCCCCCCAAAGTATGTGTGGTTTGCTTTCTCATTTCTTTTTCTTTCTTTCCTTTCCTTTTTTTTTCTTTTGAGACGGAGTTTCACTCTTGTCATCCAGGCTGGAGAGCAATGGTGGGATCTCAGCTCACTGCAACTTCTGCCTCCCAGGTTTAGGCGATTCTCCTGCCTCAGCCTCCCAAGTAGCTGGCATTACAGGCATGAGCCACTGTGCCCAACCAGTATGCATTATTTTATATTATCTTTAAATTCCATGAAATAATCATAAACATATCCTCCTTGTGAAAAATACATTCCCGAGAAACTGAGTTTTCTTTGATCCCCGACCCTCATCCCAGCCAATCCTAGGCCACTCCCTGCTCCCTTTTCCCCAGAGATAGCCACTCTTCACTGGGTGTAAATACTTCCAGGCCTTTCGCTGTGCATTTATGTGCATTATATATGTGCCAGTAGGAAATATATGCAGTTGTCCTTGATATCCCAGGGGGATTGGTTTCTGGACCCCTGTGATGCTAAAATTTGAGATGCTCCTGTCCCTGGTAGAAAATGGCAGTGTTTACATATAACCTATATACAGCCTCCTGTATATTTTATTTATTTTTTCATTAGAAAAATGTTTTTTTGAGATAGGGTCTTGCTCTGTCACCCAGGCTAAAGTGCGGTGGCATGATCAGGGATCACTGCAGCCTTGACTTCTGGGGCTCAAGTGATCTACCTCAGCATCCAGAGTAGCTGGGACCATAGGCATGTGCTACCATGCCCTGCTAATTAAAAAAAAAAAATTATTAGAGACGAGGTCTTGATTTGTTGCCCAGGCTGGTCTCAAACTCCTGGCCTCAAGCAATCCTCCCTCCTGCCTTGGCCTTCCAAAAGACTGAGATTACAGGCATGAGCCACCATGTCTGGCCCCTCCTGTATGCTTTATTATTATTTATATATTTATTTATTTTAAGAGTGGTCTCGCTGTCACCCAAGCTGGAGGGCAGTGGTGCTATCTCAGCTCACTGCAACCTTCGTCTCCTGGACTCAAGCAATCTTCCCATTTCAACCTCCCAAATAGCTGGGACTACAGGCATGAGCCACCACACTTGGCTAATTTTTAGTAGTTTCTGCGGAGCCGGTGTTTCCCCATGTTGCCCAGGCTGGTCTTGAACTCCTGAGCTCAAGCAACCCACATGCCTTGGCTTCCCAAAGTGTTGAGATTACAGGTATGAGCCACCACGGGCAGCCCCTCCTGTATACTTTAAATCATCTCTAGATTTCTTACCTGTAATACCTAATGTAATGCAAATATGTACATAGTTGTTACTGTATTTTTTTTTTTTCTGGAGAAAGAGGCAGTCTCACTTTCTTGCCCAGGTTGACCTTGAACTCCCAGCCTCAAGTGATCCTCCTGCCTCAGCCTCCCAAAATGCTAGGATTACACGTGTGAGCCACCATGCTTGGCCATGTATTTTTAAATATACATTTAAAAAGTTGTTGTTTTTTCCCCCAAATATTTTCTGTCTGTGGTTAGTTGAATTTACACATGTGGAACTCAAGAGGCTGTGGAGGGTCGACTGTATATAGTATTGCCTGTGGTTATTTTTCTTATTTTAACTTTAGAAACACTATTGGGATTAACACTATAGCTGGCCCAGATCTCCAAAAAATAAGATGACAAAAGTCTGAACTGATGTTCTTGAGCAGTTGGGCTATGTCCCATAGGTACATTTTGAACCACTATGTTGCTCTTGGTCTAAGCTTAAGCAGAAATGTACTTCGGAGTTTGCTGTTTAGAATGGAGAGGATGGGGTGCTGCCAGCTGAGATGCATTTATCATAGTCAGGGCTGACCCCACAGTTCTCTGTTTTATTTCAAACCCTCTCACTTTATTCAGAGCTAGGATGTACCTGCCAGTTGGAGGCTCAATTCAAAGCCACCAGGGAACATTGGTGGCTCATATGTCACAAAGTGGCGCCTATGGCTATCTTGTCCCTAGCTTCATCTATCATTGGAAAACCAAAAGCAACTATGCTTTAGCAAGGAGCTTTGAAACGCCTCTCACAGAATTGCTGACTCATCCTTGATTTAAAGAGCAATGAACAGATCTGACCTTTTTAGAAACAAACCATGGCACTACCTCCAGGAGACAATGGACTATAGTGCCAGCAGGGTACGGAGTGGTGCCTTGCCCAAGGAGTAACCCTCTAGCCTAGTTTCTGACAAAACCACCAGAAGCGGATTTATTTATTTATTTTATTGAAAAGGGGTCTAGCTGTATTGCCCAGGCTGGTCTTGAACTCCTGGCCTCAAGTGATCCTTGCATCCTGGCCTCTCAGAGAGCTGGTATTACAGATATGAGCCACCACGGCATACTAGACACAGATGTTATAAGGTGGCTTTGATGACAGGTTCTCAGAAAGAAGCCCCTTTTCTTAAGCAAAATTGTCCACCAAACTCAGAGCGGACGGGCCACAGGCATCCCTCGAGAACATGAGAATGTTCTGCATTTCTCGAGGGAAGGAGACGTTGGCAGCCATGTGCTCACCTGCTTTGCCGAGGTCATTCTTTGTGTTCCCCTGACATCACAGTGGCCCTGACATTTCATAAAAGCAGAGGCGTGCCCCTTCAGTTTGGCTTTGTCGGGTGCTGTGTCTGCCAGGCAAGCTTGGCCTCCCTACTTGATGGTGGGCAAGAAGTCTCACTAATTCATAAATTCCTGGTCAGAGTGTGCCCATCAACAGCGGTTACACTTGCCACCTCCTTAAAAAGACTGTGTCAGCCCACTGGCATCCCAGCTCAATGCATTCTCCACGCTTCCTGGGTATTCAGGTAGGACCGTGGCATCTCTGTGTTTGGGTATGGGGCGCGCCCAGAGAGGCCGCAGCCTTGGGCAATGCAGCCGCGCACGGAACTGCAGCTGGTTCTCCTCTCTGCACTCCTGCGTCTACATGAGCGCACATTTTAGTTTTCTTTTCTGGGGAAATCTTTGAGGAGGCCCCATTCCCAAGGTTCGTCCAAGGGGAGGAATGTGCTTTGGTAAGTACAGGGGTTCGGCAAGTCTTTTTACTGGTCAAGGGTCACTGAGCGCAGGCTTCTGAAGGCGATTTCAGCGTGAAAGCACCCCACCTTCCCACCGCACACTCAACGCGCCTCGGGGGAGGGCGGGAGAAGGGGACTCCCGAAAGCAGGAGGCTTGCGTTGCGTAGTTGAGATATATCTGGGCTGCTAAGTGACAAGGGGGTGGGTGCTCTCCTATTTTGCCATCTCGGCGATGTGGAGGGAGCTGGGGTTTTGTGACGGAGACCTGGGTAGCTGGGACTGGCAGGGGAACGCGCGGCCGGGGCGGGACGGGGGCGGAGCGGGCGCTGCGCTGACGGCCGCGGCAGAAAGGGGGCGGCCGCGCCCATTTCCTCTGCTCCGCCGCGGCGGGAGGGATCCGCATCAGCGAGCTGCGCCTCTCGGGTGTTGGCCCCGGCGGCTCCCCCACAGTGCCTGGCTGTGGCGAGGCTGCTGCAGCAGAGCCTGTGGCGGCCGCAATCCCTGGGGCGCTCCGGAACCCAGTGCGCGGCGCGCGTGCCGGCCGCCCGCATGGACGCAGCGCTGAAGCGGAGCCGCTCGGAGGAGCCAGCCGAGCTTCTGCCGCCTGCCCGGGACGAGGAGGAAGAGGAGGAGGAGGAAGAAGAGGGGATGGAGCAGGGGCTGGAGGAGGAAGAAGAGGTGGACCCCCGGATCCAGGTAGGGCGCGCGGAGTCGCCCTGCATCTGGGCTTCGCTGGGGGCTGCTGCGGAGTCGGCGTCTACGCGGACACCCACTTCGCAGCCCCCAGTGACTGTGGTCCGGGGACTGACGGCTCCGTAGCTCTGGTGGCAAGAGAGGGTCTGTATGCTCCGTTTCATCGTCTCCACAATGGGGAGGCTGCAGTGCCCGCGTGGATGCGGCCTGACTCTATTGCGGGCAGCCCCCCGCAGACCCCTAGCAGGATCGGGGTCGCTGCAGAGTGCCTGGTGATTCAGGCTGTTGTGCAACAAAGGGAAAAAGGGGGCGGGGGCGCCCTGCTATCCTCGGGGTGCCCCCGGCCGGGCCGCGTCGCCGCGGGGATGGCACGGCCTCCAGGCTCTGCAAGGAAGGGTCGCGCGCGTGGGCGCCGGGCACCGTGGGCGGGTGGGCGTTGCCCGCCCTTGCAGCGTGGGCTGGCCCCCGTGCCCCGGTGCAGCGTCCTCACCTGCGGAGGTGCTCGGCCTGAGCTGTTTTCCTTCTCTGATTCATTGTTAGCGAAATGAGCGGCTTATTGTCACCACCGGTGCAACGTTCTGTCTGGCCTGAAATTGCTTAAAACCCTGCTTTCCCTTGTTGTGAGGTTGGGCATGAACAGAAATCAGGGACAACTGCTGCGCAAAGCTGATGCGTGGAGGCGGCGAGGGGATTGGGCTGGCTTTCTGTGCCTCCATTTCCAAGAGAGATGATTAAAACACAATTTCCAAGCCGAGATCTAGGAGTGACAGTTTAACCTCGTCACCCTAAGCAAAAAGCAGAGCAAATCCCTTTCCAAGACCCGTTTTTTCCAACCCTTTCAACAAATCGTTTTTTTAAAAAATTGATTTTAAAAATGCTCTCTAATTTCTGGATCCTTAATTGCTTTTTAGTGCACAGATCAATTTAAAAAGCTCACTTAACTCAGTGGTTGGGGTTTAAATGAATCGTCAGGTTAGCAACATGAAGATCAGGTGGGAAAAAAATCCTTGCATTAGGAATGCTATTAATTAAAATAATTGGTTTGGAATAAATTGTATGTTATTGGTGTGGAATTTGCATGGTAAAGATGAATTAAGTTCATGTTGGATGTTTTTTTACAAAATGTCAGTTTGTAAACGTTTATTTAAAGGAACGGAATTAAGACTAGTTTAAAATAGCCAGCTAAGTAGGTTGAATAATTGGCAGTGTGAAAATATTTTTACCTTTTACAGAAAAATAATTCTGATGAGTTAATACCAGAATTCTGCCCTTGATTTCACTGGGTTTACATTTTTGGCTTGGCCTTGCTTATTGTCTTTTACTGTTTTCTAAGCAAAGTTCTTGCTCAAGGCAGATGGTACTGTTTTGATTAGGCCATGAAACCATTTGTAACAGGTGGGGTTTACTTGAAGGCACATACCTGGAATATTTGACCTCAGACAAATTCCAAATGTCCCTTAAGACATTGTCAAAAGGGACACCATCAAGAAAATGGTTTCAGAAATGCTGACATTGATTTGCTTTTCTAGCCAAGCTTCAGCTGTTTTCCTTAAGAATTAGTACTGGTTCTTCCCTTGTCCTGCAAATCGGGCTGGGGTAATTTTTCAGGTTATGGACTGAGTTATATTGGAAACAAAACACGGATCCTTTAAGTCTTTTTTCTCCCTCTTTTCTTCACCAGGGAGAACTGGAGAAGTTAAATCAGTCCACGGATGATATCAACAGACGGGAGACTGAACTTGAGGTACAGAGAGCTGAGTTCCTGTTCTTGATGAAGTGGTTTCACACCGGCACAAAGCTGGTTAATTTCGTGTTCTAACTGGAGGGTTATTGCTGGACTCCCCTCCTTGTGAGTTGAGTGACAGCTCCCTGTCTGACAGAATAAAATACACCACTGAGCTCAACCTGTGGGCGGAACGCATGTGGATCTGATTTCACGTGTTGTTTTTCATTATGGAAGCTCCATGGGGCCTAAACTGAGTCTGTGCGGAGCATTACACAATGCTTAAGCCCCGAGTTTTAATGTGACTGCAAGGACAGAGGGGAACATTAGCTGAATTCTTTAATGGAGAATAATGAATGAGCTCACAGAATCTCTTACATGTTCTGGGCGGTTCCTACCCTTTGTCCTGGAAAGCGTTGCCTTGTTTCCCTGACTTAGACCATTTCTTGTCTTTCCTGTCCTAGTTAACTCCCGCTTCAGCTTCCCCGCTCCTTTCTTTATTGTCTGCTTGTGCATAGAATATAATTATAATGGTAATGAAAAGCTGTTTGGACAGGGAAGGGCTTTCCTGCTGGGAAAAATCTTTGGAAATGAAAACTCAATTTGGGTTTCATGTACATTTTCCAAGCAGAGTGTAAACAAGTTTGCATTCCTCACAGCCTCCCATTGGTTCCCCACCCCTTCCCAGTAGTGGTGGTTTTTTACCACCCATCAGCAAATTCGAACACTGTATATTTGGGAAACTGTGAGTGACTGTCAGAGCTCCGAAGGGACTCCCAACACAGTGACCCAGTGCAGGGAGCTGTTGGGAAGGTCTGTTTCTGTAGCAGGAGAAATAGCAAAAGTCAGTAGAAGGGACAAGCACGTGGTCCCTAAGAGTGAGGGTGCAGGAGACAGGAATATCATCTGCCGGGATTCACTGGCAGCCTTGATTCTGCTGCATGCGTAGCCCCTGGAGTTACCGAATCAGGATGTAGCAATGTGAATTAAAAAGCCTGTTGCTCTGAGCTGTGTGAAGGGTTCTCGCTAACCACCTCCATTTCCATCGTAGGTGTACGAGAGCACGGGCTCTCCTTCTTCCCAAGTAAAGTAAAATCTGTGTTTATTTACGTTTCTTTCACTTACGAATTGAGTCTCTTTGTGATGTGGGTAACTGGAACCTCTTGGAATCTGAGATTTCTAATGCATTAAACAACAAAACCCCTATCATTCCTGTAGGGCTTTAGCATTTATAGTGTTTTTTATACACTTTATCCCATTCCATCCTGTCACACCAGCCTAGAGCTGTGCTGTCCTATATGGTAGCCATGTGCAATATGTGGCTATTTGAATTTAATTAAAAAAAAATTGTTTTTGAGACAGTCTTACTCTGTTGTCTAGGCTGGGGTGCAGTGGTGCGATGTCTGCCCACTGCAGCCGACACCTCCTGGGCTCAGGTGATTCTCATTCCTCAGCTTCCTCAGTAGCTGGGACTACAGGTGTGCGCCACCATGTCTGGTTAATGAAGTCAATTAAAATGAAGTAAGACTAAAGATTCAGTTCCTCAGTCACAATAGCCACCTTTCAAGAGCCCAGTTGCCACTGTATTGAAATGCTGTCATCATAGAATGTTCTGGCCTGGAGAACAAGGAGGGTAGGGACCATTTGCTTTCCAGATGAGGACTCAGAGGCTCAGCATCTCATGGTTCTATGATGCGTCAGAGCCCGGGCGCCCATCCTGCAGCCATGCCTCCCCCAGGCATTTTCCAGATCTCTTCTGGTTCCTCTGTTCTGTTATCCCCAGTGCTGGGTGCAATCACAGCTCACTGCAACCTCAAACTCCTGGGTTCAGGCAATCCTCCTGCGTCATCCTCCCCAGCAGCTGAGATCACAGGTGCATGCCACCATAACCGGCTAATTTTTCATATGTTTAAACTTTTTTGTAAAGATGGGGTCATGTTGTATTGACCAGGCTGCTCTTGAACTCCTGGCCTCAAAGTGATCCTCCCACCTTGGCCTCCCGAAGTGCTGGGATTATAGGCAGAAGTTGCCATACCCAGCCTGGAAAGTCTTTTTTTTTTTTTTTTTTTTTTTTCCCCTCAAAGCATTGATTGATTCTAATTGCTCGCCTACTATGTGCCGGCCACTGTTCTGGGTAATGAACAAGATGGCCCATGCATGTCTCAGGCTCCAGAGTGCTTACTTTCCTGGGGTGAAATTGGTTAATCTGTTAAACTCTTTTTAGCTCTGACTTCTGAATCCCATTTTGGAATACTCTTAGGTATTTGTGTGTCACAGGAAGCCACCGGACAGGTGCTTCCTGCCTGACTCTGGAGAGCATTTGGACTGTGTGAGAGGCGAACTGGAGAGCATGAGGGGGTGGCCAGGGCTGGGCCAGGTTGCTGGCTGGCCTTTTCACAGTATTACAACCCAGACTGACCCATAGGAATATAATACGGGCTACATAAGCAATGAAAAACTCCCTAGTAGACACATTAAAAGGGAAAAGAAACAGCTGAAATGAATTTATTTTGTTTCACCTGAAATATCTGAGACCATACAATTTCAACATGGATTTGCTATTAAAAAATTATAGATATTTTACGTATATTTTTGCATTAAGTCTTTAAGATCTCCGGCATATTTTACATCTAGGGCACATTTGAGTCGAGACTAGACATGATTCAAGTGTTAGTAGCTCCATGTGGCCCTGGTCGGCACAGGCTGAATAGGTGCTTTCTGTCACAAAGGAGTCAGATGGGATGGCTCCCTTCCTGCTGGGCACCAACTGCTTGTCAGACACTGTTGGCCACTGCAGTTATGTGGGTGAACAAGACAACTCTCTAGGAGTTGACATTTTTGGTTGGGGTGAGGGGCAGAAGGGGGATAGTAATTATTGGTGGTAATAACCACAGTAAGAAATGTGACAGAGAGAGTGGAGGGGTGCTGCTGGAGGATGCCTGAGCAGATGCCTGCAGGAGAGCCTCTGTTTGCAGAGGAACAGATGGAGTGAGCTGCTGGGGTGGTCAAGGGGAGTATGCCCAGGCATGGGGGCAGGAAAGTGAGCCATTTTAATATATAGTCTTTTTTTGTTGTTGTTGTCTGAGACAGAGTCTCACTCTGTTGCCCAGGCTGGAATGCAGTGGCATGATCTCAGCTCACTGCAACATCTGCCTTCTGGGTTCAAGGAGTTCTTCTGCCTCAGCGTCCCAAGTAGCTGGGATTACAGGCATGTACCACCATGCCTGGCTAATTTTTGTATTTTTAGTAGAGATGGGGTTTCACCATGTTGGCCAAGCTGGTCTTGAACTCCTGACCTTACCATCCACGCACCTCGGCCTCCCAAAGTGCTGGGATTACAGGTGTAAGCCACCGCGCCCAGCTAGCTAAGTCTTGTTTTTGTGGTACTTGTATTCCATAAAGTTGTGCACACTCAATTAGTGAATATGGAACCATTGTCGTAGGGAAAATGCAGGGCTCCGAGCAAGCCTGTGGTCACATCATTTTCATCAACTGATCAATAGTAATCTTTTCAGTTTCCATTAAAAGACACTTAATTTACTATATATTATTGATTCATTAGTATTCAACTCAGGGCCGCTTACCTAACACGTATTTTCTCGGTAAGCCACATCACAGCCTGCTTGTGCTCAGAAATGCTAGCTAGATATCACTTTAGCACTACCCTTATGGGTCATGTTTAACAGCAAAATCGCCAAAGAAAGCATAAAAGTGTGAAAGACATGACACTAAGTGGACGATGAAAAGGACACTTGTTTATAGGATGAGCACGGAACGAAGGAGGACAGGGCATCGCTCCTTGCAGCCTCAGCTGGGAAATTTTCACTGCTTAGCGTAGGTCGGTAAAGGGACCTGAAAGGGCTGCACTTACTGATTTTGGGGCTTTGGACACATTTTGGTGAGTGGACGAATTCACAAGTATGGAATTGGCAACTAATAGTCTACTTTCAGGGCCCCCGGGGGAAGGTATTTTGCTGTACTGTTTCCTTTCCCTTTGCCTGCTGATTACGATGTGGGGTGTTCAGCACCTCTCATGATTTTTGTCTGATGAAGCTGCATTGGCTGCCAGGCGTGTAGTAGCTGCCGATGTGCTCACACTGCAGTGCGGTTGTCCGTGGGTAGCTGTATACCGAGGTGTTGCTCCTGAGGCTTGCTTTTTTTTTTTCCTTTATTTTTTCCTGAAGGTTTTTCTGTAGATGCTCACTTTTAACATCCCATTTCCTGTCTTGGCCATTTAAATTCCAGGTTGCAAAAGGGCCTCTGGATGCCGGCCATCTGCCGTGACAGTTGGATGTCCGTCTCTTCCTGCAACCTGGGTTTGCCTCTGACCTTATTTGAACAGTGCTGGGTCCCCTTTGCACTCTGATTTATATCAGTGAAAGCCAACCTTTCAAGTTGTTAAAGGAGGAAACTTTTAACCAGAGAGGCCTTGGATATAAGCCTGATGTTCTAAGTTAGGAAAATAAACATTTTCCCACAGATCCTTTGATCAGGTTTTTTTAAAATTATTTTTTTAAATTTTATTTTAAAATTTTATTTATTTTTTAGAGATGGGGTTTCACCATGTTGGTTAGGCTGGTCTCCAACACCTGACCTTGTGATCCACCCACCTCGGCCTCCCAAAGTGCTGGGATTACAGGCGTTAGCCACCGCAACCGGCCAATTTATTTATTTATTAATGAGACAGGGTCTCCCTCTGTTGCCCAGGCTGGAATGCAGTGGCACAAACTCAGCTCACTGCAGCCTCTGCCTCCTGGGTTCAAGCGATTCTCTAGCTTCAGCTTCCCAAGTAGCTGAGACCAAGGGTGCACACCAACACACCTGGCTATTTTTTGTGTATTTAGTAGAGATGGTTTTACTGTGTTGGCCAGGCTGGTTTTAAACTCCTGAGCACAAATCTATCTGCCTCCTTTGGCCTCCCAAAATGCTGAGATTACAGGTATGGGCCACCATGCCTAGCCAGCTTTTAAATTCACTAAGTATTTATTGAGTACCTGCTATGTGATGGGGGCAGTTTTAGG